AGTCACGTCTTCACTTTTGCTGCCATCAAAGTCCCGCCGCCAACTACGAGCGCCGCGAGCTGTGCGCGCACCTGGGCAGCGAGCGCCGGCCGCGGCGCAGTGCCGCTTTCTGTAGGGAGCGGCGCAGCGCAACCGGACCCAAAACCTCACACCACCCCACCAAGCACACATGCACTACGGATGCACGCGCGAACAACCAAAGCAACGCAGAACAGAACAATTCCCACGGAATCCACACCTTCTCAACTCACGCAGAGCAGGATGCGCCCGGCGCCCGTCCGTCCCTGTCCTGTCCCTGTCCTCCTGTCGTCCTGTCCATCCCTCCGTGTCCCCGTCCCTGTCCCCATCCCATGTCCCCATCCCCGCCTCACCGTTCCGCCGTCTGTCCGTCTGTCCCCGCATGTCCCAGTCCCCCCTCCCCTGTCCCGTCCTGTCCCATGCCTGTCACGTCCTGTCCCCGTCCCCGCCTCAACTGTCCCCCGTCCTTGTCCATCCCCCTCGCCTGTCGTCCCTGTCCATCCTCCTGTCCGTCTGTCCATCCCGCTCCCTGTCCCCGTTGTCCATCCTACCTAGTCCCGTCCCTGTCCCGTCCCCCTGTCCTGTCCCGTCCTGTCCCCCCGTCGTGTCGCCTGTCCCGTCCCTGTCCTGTCCCGTCCCTGTCCCGTCTCCTGTCCGTCCTCGTCCCGTCCCTGTCCATCCTCCCTGTCGTCCCTGTCGTCCTGTCCCTGTTCTGTCCCTGTCCCTGTCCCCCGCTGCCTCGGGCCGCGCCAGGCGCCCCCACGCCCCGCCCGCCTCCCCACTGGCCTCGGCCGCAGGAGCCCCTTCCTCCAGGGCCGCCTGATGCCCGGGTTTGAATCCAGGCTGCGCCCCTTCCTCCCTGCTTCCCCTCTCCTGCCCTCTTCTTCCTCTTCCTTCCTTCCTGCACCTGCTTGAGCGTGAGGTTGAAGAAGGCGTCGTGGAAGTCCCACTGCAGGATGTCGCCGTGCGCGCGCGCCTCCATGCGCAGCAGGCGGTTGAGCTTGCGGGCCTGCAGCGGGTCGCGCGCGGTGCCCACGAGGAAGAGGCGGCGCAGCGGCAGCCCGCGCGCCCGGCGCTCGCGGCCCCAGGTGCGGCGCACGAGCTCGCGGCGCTCGTAGTTGGCGGGCGCGGACTTGATGGCGAGCAGCAGGAAGACGGGCCCCGCGCACTTGGCGGGCGGCGCGTCCTGCAGCAGCGGGAAGTCGCGGCAGTGGCGGTGCAGCAGGAAGTCGCGCACGTGCGGGGGCTGCGCGGCGAAGTCGGGGTGCGCGGCCGCCGAGGCGTTGGCGCGGCACGGGGGCGCGGCGGGCGCGCGAGCGAGGCAGGGACGGCCGGGGCGGAGCGGGCGGCCGCAGCCTCGCGGGCGGCCGGCGGCTCCTCCGGGGCCACGCGGGCCGCGGGCCACTCGCGCAGGCTGGACAGGAAGAGGCAGGCGGACGGCGCCGCGGCCATTGGGCGAGGCCCGCCGCGCGGCCGCGCTGCCCGGGACACTTTCATCGCGCGCGCCGTCCCGCGGCGGGCTCAGGCGGGCCTCCGCGGCGCCTGCGGGAGAAGCGGCCATGAGCGCCCGCACCTGCCTCGCCCGCACCGGGCCCCGCACCTGCCTTCGCCCGCACCTGGCCACCCCGACCTGGCCTCCGGCCCCTCACCTGCCGTCTGCCGCACCTGCTCGCCCTCACCTGCCTCGCCCGCACCTGCGGCCCCGCACCTGCCTCGCCCTCACCTGCCTCGCCCGCACCTGCCTCGCCCTCACCTGCCTCGCCCGCACCTGCCACCCCGCACCTGCCATCCCGCGCCTGCCTCGCCCGCACCTGCCTCGCCCGCACCTGCCACCCCGCACGTGGCCTCCGCGCCTGGGCCTCGCCGCACCGGGCCACCCCGCAACCTGCCTCGCCCCCCTCACCTGGCCTCGCCCGGCACTGGCCTCGCGCCCGCCCACCTGCCGGCCCCGGCACCTGCCTCGCCCTCACCTGCCGCCCCGCACCTGCCTCGCCCTCACCTGCCGCCCCGCACCTGCCTCGCCCGCACCTGCCTCGCCTGCACCTACCACCCCGCACCTGACTGGCCCGCACCTGCCTCGCCCGCACCTGCCTCGCCCTCACCTGCCTCGCCCGCACCTGCCTCGCCCGGCACCTGCCCGCCCTCACCTGCCTCGCCCGCACCTGCCTCGCCCGCACCTGCCTCGCCCTCACCTGCCGCCCCTCACCTGCCTCGCCCACACCTGCCTCGCCCTCACCTGCCGCCCTGCACCTGCCTCGCCCGCACCTGCCTCGCCCTCACCTGCCTCGCCCGCACCTGCCGCCCAGCACCTGCGCGGCTGCTCAGGTTGTCAGACACCCGAGCTCCCAGCCACACGTGGCTCGCGACACCCAAACACGGGATGTAAACAGTATTATATATAGTATTATATATATATATAGTATATTTTGGAGACAGAGTCTCACTCTTGTGTTGCCCAGGCTAAGGAAGGTGAGTGCGCATGGCGTCGAGCGGCGGAGCGAGCCTCAGACTCCTGTTGGGGCTCTCTTTAGTGTTCTCTCGTCTGCCCTCAGCCTCCCGAGTAGCTGGGACTGCAGGCATAGGCCACCACGCCCGGCTTTTTTATATATATATATTTTTTTAGTTGGCCCATTAATCTCTTTCTATTTATTGTAGAGAGGGGCTCTCGCTCTGGTTTCGAACTCCTGACCTCGAGCGATCCTCCCGCCTCGGCCTCCCAGAGTGCTGGGATGACAGGCGTGAGCCACTGCGCCCGGCCCCCAGATTAAATATTTTTTACCATCACCTCATTTTACGGGGAACCGAGGAACGGCTCTGTGCCAGGGTGGGCCCCCGCGGGCTCAGCGTGCCCAGAACCCCCATCCGCCCGCCCCGCCCCGCCAGGCTTGGCCTCCGGACTCAGCCCGAGCCCCCCTGGGGGTTGGGAGGGCCCCTCCTCCATCAGACGAGAGCTGCTGGGGTCCCTCCTCGTTCCCTGTCACTGGGCTTCCGGGCTTGGGCACAGCCACTCCCGCCCTTCCTGTCCCCAGTGGCCCCCGCGCCCCCGCCCTTCCCAGAGCCCCAGCCCCCGCTCGTGTGTTCCTCGGCCAACTCCGGTTCCTCCCTTAAATTCCACCTCCACCCATCCGTCCCCCGGGAACCCTGAGGACCAGCCTCGGCCTCCTGTCTGGCTCCCGGAATCCCTCCCTGCCCTCTGGCCCAGGCCTGAGCCCGTGCTGGCGTCTGTGTGTGCCCTTGTCTTCCCCTGCCTCGGGGGTGTGGGGGGAGAGGAACTTGGGGACTCTGGTGTCACCCAGCATCAGGCGGACGCATGGGGCAGGTGGGGAGGTGGAGGGGAGGAGGCATTCTTGCATAAAAGTGGATTCATTCTGTTTCTCCCTCTGGCGAACTCTTACACATCCTCCAAAACCCCAGCTCCAGTGACCCCTGGGTCCTGGAAACCTTCCCTCCCCACATGCCGACAGAGCCCTCGATGGCCCTTCCGAGCTCCCTTCCCCGAACTCCCTGCCTGCCTTTTTCTCCGGGAAGGCGGTGCGTCCCTGTTGTTCTTTGGGCCTGAACGGGCAGCCAGGCTCCAGGGAAGCATGGGGTTGCTAGATTAGACTCCAGGCGGCACTTACGCGTTCAGCGAGCACTTGTCGGCGCCCGCCGCCCCCAGGGGGGCACGGAACCCTTCCGGAGCCCAGAGCCCGCTGGGGAGTCCAACTCCGGCCTCCCGACCTCGCCCGCCACGCCCCGGCCCTGCGCTCGGCCTGGTCTCCTGGGCCGTAAGGGGCGTCTAGGCTGGCCCCAGCTCTGTGGACGCGGGGGGCTCCTACCTGGCGCGCGGCACCCAGCGAGCGTTTGTTGAATGACTGTGTAAACCTCGGCACTTACCTGAGGCTGCCCTGGGGGGTCCGCGTGGACGGGGGGTCCCCTCTGTCTCCCCAGCAGCACCTGGAACCGCAGTGCGTGGAGCTCAGTGGGTGCCCTGGGCCCCTCCGGCCCCGGCGGCCTCACCCAGCCCCCCTCGGAGCCAGGCGGGAGGCAGCTCCGGCCTCCCATCTTGGAGCCTCCAATTGGGCGGGAGCCAGGGACGGGGCCTCACGTCCTGACCCCCCCCGACACGCACGTCCCTCTGTCTTTCGGGCCGGGTGTGTGCGTGTGCGGCCTCAGGCCACGGCTCAGATAACGCCCCAAAGGGGTCCGCTGTGTGAGCCCAGGAAGGGAGCTTGACCTCTCTGAGTCTCAATGCAAAACAGGAAGCATCAACCCTGCGTAAAAGTATTGCTGTGGGCTGGGCGCTGCGGCTCACGCCCGTCATCCCAGCACTCTGGGAGGCCCAGGCGGGAGGACCGCTCGAGGTCAGGAGTTCGAGAGCAGCCTGAGCAAGAGCGAGACCCCCGTCTCTACTAAAAATAGAAATAAATTACTTGGACAGGTAGAAATATAAAGAAAAAAGTCAGCCGGGCGTGGTGGCGCATGCCTGTAGTCCCAGCTACTCGGGAGGCTGAGGCAGGAGGATCGCTTGAGCCCAGGAGTCTGAGGTTGCTGTGAGCGAGGCTGACGCCATGGCACTCACTCTAGCCCGGGCGACAGAGAGACACTCTGTCTCAAAAAAAGCAAACAGTATTGCTGGGGCGACGTTACCGGCCGACACTGGCGCAGGCTGCTTCCGCTGCGGGAACGGCCGCGCTGGACTCCACCCGCGCCCGCGTCTCCTGCCCGGCCTCGCCCACGAGCGCCGCCTGCCCCGCACGCCTGGCCCCACCCTGTTCTACTTTTCCTTTTTTTCTGAGACAGGGCCTCGCTCCGCCGCCCAGGCTGGAGTGCAGCGGCGCGATTACGGCTCACCGCAGCCTCCACCTCCTGGGCTCCAGCGATCCTCCTGCCTCGGCCTCCCCCGGTGCTGGGACGGTCGGTGTGAGCCCCCGCGCCCGGCCGCTCTTTCTCTTTTCCCACAGCCCTTCTCACTGCCTGAAACAGGCAGCACAACTTTAAACATGTGCGTGGCTCCTGCGTCTCCCTGTGCCCGGCCCCGAGGACGGTGCCCCCGGTACCCAGTAGGCGCTCAACAAACGCGCATCCGATGAATGAAGGGATGCCGGCCGCGCCGCGGCAGCAGGAGGAAACGCCGGCTCTCGGGGTGGGTTCGCACGTTCGTTCTTTCAAGCCGCGTTCACGGGGCTCCTCCCGGGCACCCCGGGGGCCGAGGGCACAGCCGGGACAGGTGCTGGACCCGCACCCTCCGGAGGGGGCAGAGGCCAAGCCAGTGACTAGGGAAGGCCCCGAGGGCACACAAGCCGGGGGAAGCAACCTCAGACTCCTGGCCTCAAGCGATCCTCCTGCCTCAGCCTCCCGAGTAGCTGGGACTACAGGCATGCGCCACCATGCCCGGCTAACTTTTTCTATATATATCAGTTGGCCAATTGATTTCTTTCTATTTATAGTAGAGACGGGGTCTCGCTCTTGCTCAGGGTGGTTTGGAACTCCTGACCTCGAGCAATCCTCCCGCCTCGGCCTCCCAGAGTGCCGGGATGACAGGTGTGAGCCGCCGCGCCCGTCCCAGCGGCCGGTTTTGATGGCGAAGACATGAACGGCTGGAGGAAGCCAGGGGGCAAAGGTCTGCGGGGAGGCGGCTGAAGGACGGGGCCGGCCGAGGGACCCTGCGTGGTTGTGGCTCAGAGCCTGTCCTGCGGCCGCCGTGTCCCCCGCGGGGCGGGGGTGGCTGCCAGCTCTGGGGGCTCGGCTCCTGCCGCGCGGGTCCGGGAGACCCCAGTCACGGCAGGGAAAACCGCACGGGCAAGCCCAGCAGAAAGCCCCAGTCGCCAGAGAGAAAACCGAATGAGAGAAGCCTCAAGTGTCCCCCCACCCCCACGCTGGGGACCAGAGGCCCACAGGGGCCGGAACCTGACTTCCGGGCACAGACACACAGACGGCCACACGGACAGTCAGGACCCGGGAGAGCCGAGAGCCTGAGTCATCTGCAGTTCACAATGCAAACCAGCGGCTTTTCCCCCCAGGGCACAGTTGTCTAGGGACGGTTTTGGTTGCCATGACTCGGGTGGGGTGTGGGACTGCTAATGGCATCAGTGGATGGAGGCCAGGAATGCCACCTGACACCCTGCGGTCCCCACCTGTCTTCCCCCAAATGTCAACATCACCAGCCCGGGCCGCGCTCGCGGGCTGCGTGCGTGCTGCTCACGTGTTTATTCTTTGAGACGGGGTCTCACTCTGTCGCCCGGGCTGGAGTGCCGTGGTGTCCTCACAGCTCACTGCAGCCTCCAACTCCTGGGCTCCAGCGATCCTCCTGCCTCGGCCTCCCGAGTTGCTGGGACTACAGGCATGCGCCACCACGCCCGGCTCATTTATTCTATTCTTCCCAATTAATTTCTATTTATAGTAGAGACGGGGTCTCGCTCTTGCTCAGGTTGGTCTCGTACTCCTGACCTCGAGCGATCCTCCCGCCTCGGCCTCCCAGAGAGCTAGGATGACAGGCGTGAGCCACCGCGCCCGGCCAGGGGTCGAGTCTTGGTAGCGCCTCCTCCGAGCTACTCCGGCGCCTTTGCTGGCTGGGGCTGG